ATTGACACAAAAGGATAAATAGTGAGGTTGCCTCTATTTACATGCGTAATCTTTAATATATTAGCAAGCCGTAGGTTGGTTTTCTTATAAGGCTGTTCACGCTGCTTGCTCTTTGCAAATTCTTTGTCCTATTCCCAGGCAGGGGGGGGATGGGTGGGAATTTTTTTTTTTGCCAGAGAGACCAGCTAAAACTAAAAAGGGGAGGTTTTGTTCCCCTTTGAGCTTCTCTTCTGGTAATTAAAATGCACACAGCTATAGACAACTGCAGGAGTAGTCTTTTGTTGGTATACACACCCTGCAGCAACGCAATGCAATTGTTGTGCAACCTGTCCCCTCCCCCACCCAGGGTCATACAAAGAAAGGGCCGCCCTGTTGTACACAGGCAGCATTCACAGGCATCTCTTGCGGACCAAAACACAACTACAATTCCGACTGATAAGTTAGAAGGCTGGTAACCCAAATGATCGATGAAAAATATACTGAACGATTGGACCAAACACCGGCCAAATAAACTGGCTTTTTAAATCCAACCACGCTTGGGCTTATGTGAAAACTGGCACATTGGGGGGGGGGGGGGGAGAATAAAAACCAGAACCTTCCGTCTTTCTGACTCATCTCTAAGCAACAGCACCATGGCAACTTTATCCAGCATTAGAAACCTTCTGTGGAAACAGGGTGGTAGGGCAGGAGACAACATGCTGGAATGCCAATTTTAATTTCCTCCAACAATTGGGGCACAAGAAGCCCTTAGAATCCCACAACAAACCAGCAGCCCCAAACCAGTGTTGCCCTTTCTCCAAAAGGAAAGTTGAGGCAACTCTTCCAGTTTTATATAGCACAACCACAATCTGCATGATAGAGTTTCCTGGAATGGAGCAAATTACATTTTTGTTGCATCCATGTTTAAACTTGTGCATGGGTTTGTTTTTTTTTTTTAAATTTTTCTTGCATCACTGTTTCCTATTATTTAGCGCAAGGTGAGAAGGGACAGTATTTGCCCCCGTTTGAAATGGGACGTCCCTTGTGCATACGTGTGCTTCAGTTACAGCTGCTCTTTTCCAAGGCATCTCCTCCTTCAGCACATTTTGAGGGAAAGCTCTGCAGCGGTAGCAGCAGCCAGGGAGTCAGATGAAATCTCTTGTTACGCAGCTCTTCTGATGCTGCTGCTGCTGCTGCTGCTTCACAAAGCCCCCCCCCCCCTCCTCTATGTGCAGCTTGAGGCTCTATTCCTTCCGACATAAACTGGGACCCGGCCGCCATTTTAGAAAGGCATTCATACAAGCCAGCACTGCGCTAAACCCTCGGAGAGAGGCATGTTGTTCTCTCCTCTCCAGCAAAGGGTGGATCAAGGAACAGTTTTCTTTTTTAAAAAGCTGGGCTGCCAAATGATGAATCAGGCTCTATGTTGCTAATCACAGCAAGTACTAGGAGACTCTGTGTGTGTGTGTGTGTGTGTGTGTGTGTGTGTGTGTGTGTGTGTGTGTGTGTGTGTATGCGCACATGCGTGCCTTCCTCAGATACCAATTCAAACACACAAACAACAACAACAAAACAACACAAAGGAAAACCTCTAGGAAAGGACCTGCTCAGCTCCCACGCAAGACTTATTTTGCATATGGGAACTCCAACACTTTAAAACCGTTTTCCTATCTTCTAGATAATAAGACCAGAATAAATATCCACTTCTGATTTAGTAACCTGCGTGCCCCAACTCAGAATTATAGGGGGGGGTGAGTAATGGGAAGCATCAATTCTAACATAACATTAAAGGACATCTTTGGCCAAAAAATGAAAATGTATCCTGACCATCAACAAAACAAGCTTCCATTTAAGAATACAGGGTAATTTCACTCTCTTCCCCCAGATTCACCAGTCAAGCTTGTTCCCCCATGAAGTAACCATGCAAGTCTATTTTTCCCATGATGACTCATTAGGTACGCTCCATAATCTTCCTAAACAGTAGGAAGAAAATTACAAGAAAACTTGCAATCCTCTTAAGTCTTTCACTGAAAATAACTTCAGCTGACCCAGATAGGAGTCAAGAATGATGCACGAGAGTTTTCCTTCACAAATGCCATAATAGGCAAGACCAGAAATAATTATTTAAGACAGATGTTTCTGCAACTGTTATCTAGAATGTGTCCATCAGCACACAAAAGCCATCCCATGTAGCACCACGCTAGTGCTATTCGGCTAACATGTATTTTGTCCAAAAGGTTTCTCCCTGGGTGAATTTTTACAGCCAGAAAAAAAATATATAGATCTCATGAATGCAAATAAGAAGACTAAGCTACTGTTCAGTATTAGGCCATCCCGGAAATGTTCCACAGCAACAGAACAAAAGGAAGTCGGATTCAAAAAAAAAAAGGAATTTCAGTGTTCTAGTCACTCAAAGCGGTGCCTAAATATCCACGTTCCAGTTATTCCTTTCATAATTCCTTAAGAATAAGAAAACAAAGAAGCCTCAAAATTGCCGAGGTCAATTGCCACCTCGCCTGAGGGGTGGGCAGAAAAATTCAAGCACTCAGTAGTCCAGGATCAGAGTGCGGGGGCGGGAAAAAAGAAAAAACAAAACCAAAAATAAGATTTTTTTTAAAGCACGGCTTAGCGTAAAAGTGGTTTCCATCCCAACTGCGCTCTTTGAAAATCCCACAACATGAAGGCCCCGGTGGTGGTGGTGCAGCATCCGTCTTTCTCTCTCTCTCCATCCGGCAAGCGGTCTCTATATGAGCTTGAAGGCTGCTTGCACCTTATGGAAGTGGTTTGTGTTTTTTTTTTTGGTCCAGGCTTCTAAAATGCCCAAATGCAGAAAAGGGAGTCCAGAGAGCCTTTTTTTTTTATTCTCTTTTTTTGAAAGCAGCAAAGCGGCATAGCTCCTTGTTGGGGTTTCTTCTTCTCCAGAGGCGCAGTTGAAGAGAAGGGGAAGAGGGGGGGCTGCAGACAGAAGCCTCCAGATGTTCCTCCAGATGACAGGTTGTGTCCAGGTTGACTTCTTCTTGGGCCAGGCTCCCGAGAGGCCCTCTTTTAAATCCCGGGCCTCGATCGGGCTTCCCAGGCACCATCCAAACACACACACAGACAGACACACAGACACACAAAACTGCCTCCTCCTCCTCTTCCTCCTCCTCCTGCGAAGAGGCTCCCCCTTTACCTGTCGCAGCGAGGCACCTTCGGAATCGCCCCCTTTGGAAGGGACGGTCCCATTGGCGTGGAGGGGGCTGCCTCCTTTTTTTTTTTTCCCCGGCCCACGATTACGGCCACCCGCCCCCCCAATTTCAACTCCCTTCCCCGGAGAGTAAAGGCCTCTCTGGCTCCCCCGGCCGCTTGGAAAGGCCTCCCGGGACTTATCCCCGATTCTCTCCCCGGCGGCCCCGCTCACCGCTTGAAGTGCTCGATGATCTTCTCCTCGCGGACGTTCTCCGGCAGGTTGCCGACCCAGAGGTGCCTGGTCTCCCGGACCATGATGCTGCCCCCGGGAGACGGGGGGTCCTGGCGCCGCCCGCCTGCCGCCGCCGCCGCCGCCTCGGCTCGGCTCAGCGCCGCGAGGGGGAGCCGCCGCGCCTCCGCCGCCGTCGCGCCCGGCCCGCTCTTCCTCCACCGCCGCCGCCGCCTCCCTCCGCGGCGCCGGTGGGAGACACCATCCCACCGGGCCCCGCCGCCGCTTCCGTCGCCGCCGCCGCCGCCGCCGCCACTCCCGCGCCACTTGGCCCCTCGCCGCCGCCGCCGCCTCCTTTCGCCGCTCCGGATGCTGCTGTTGCTGTGGGCGGCGATGCCGGTGATATTGAGGGGGCCTCCGCCGGCGACGCCGCCGCCGCCGCCTTCTTGACCGTCGTTGTCGTCGTCGTCGTCGTCGTCGTGCGCGCGTCCTGCTCGGCGGCGGCGCTGTCGCTGCTTCAGCCCAATTTCTCCTCAGCAGCCGCAGCAGCGCCGCGCGCGGCGTCGCTCTCTCTCTCTCTCTCTCTCTTTCTCGCCCGCTCGGCCGCCCGCACGCACGGCGCCTGCGCGATGGGCCGCCGCCGTAGCCAATCCGCCGCCGAGCACCCGCCTCGCGCCCCCAGAGCGCGCCGGCTATTGGGCGGCGGGAAGCGCGCGTCGGACGGGGAGGAGGGGGGGGGAAAAAGGAGGCGAAGGGGAAGAGCGTGCGCAAGCGCTCTGGAGACTTCTTTTTCTTCCAGGGGAACAGGGAGAGACTGCTCCAGCAGGCGGGGGTGGGGGGCGGGGGAGCCGTGAGAGAATTCTGTCCTCTATACGCCTCTCGGCGGCGAACGCGCACGCGCAGCACGCGTTCTCTCGGGGTCGGGGGAAGGGGCTTTCATCTGCGCGTGCGCCCTTCTGTCTCCTCAGCGTCAGGCGGTGTGTGTGGGGGGGGGGGGGGTTTAGTGGGTGCCGTTCACAAGTAGTTTCACCGCTCGCGTGTCCGGGATCCGCGTCTTCCGTTATTACGTCCTTTTCTCCGAACTGAGCTCCGCCCCAGCCCCCCCCCTTTGAGCGCCCCTTCACCCGATCTCAGCGGGCCCTGGGCGCTCACTACTACAACTCCCATGCTCCGCAGCCCACCCCACTCCCTGGTTCCCGGGCTGCCTCCGCCACCGAGGACCTGACAAGCTCAGGGAAGGCCCTAGAGCGACCGTTCTCCCCCCTCCCCCGGAGAGAAGTCAACCCGGGGAAGCCGAAAGGCCGGGAAGATCCGCTCCGCCGTGTCCCGGGAAGGCCGCCCCGCCCTCGTGCTTCAGGGACGGCCGCCATTTTGTCGCTCCTTGTCTGGCCGGGCGGCCATTTTGTGACACCGGGGCGCCGCGGCTGCCCTTCCACGCGCGTCCAGCAGGGGCGCTGGGCACACACATTGCCCCCCCTCCCTCTCATCAAAGGGAGGGGGTGATTGATCCGCCCTCCCAACCCACCCTATGCAACCAAACCCCCCCACACACTCCCCGCCAATGGGATTGCTTGCCACCGAGACCCCCCCCCCCCCCAAAAAAAGGCCGTTCAGTAGATGTCGTAGAGTGAGGCTTCGGTGCTGGATTCTCTTTTTTTTTGAAACCTTTTTATTTTCGGATTGTTTTATTGCACACGCACCCCGGATTTCCATCCGTACATCGGACAGGCCAAGCAAAGCCTCTGAATCGAGAGATCTTCTTGCAAGGCGATAAATCCCACCCACCCCCTTCCGAAGGGCACCAAGGCTGGCACACACATACACCCAACCCCTGCTAACCAGGCTCTGCCTTTGCAGAAATGGCTTTTCATAACATAATAACAAGAGTAATAAGAGTGGGAAGGGGCCTTGGAGGTCATCTAGCCAACCCCCTGCTCACCTGCAGGGAGACCCTATACTAGGGATTCGAACCGCCGACCTTTCTGATTGACAAGCACGGACACCTAGCCGGGTCTACGGAGAAAGTCTTTTCAGCCGTCCACGGTTGTCCCAACAAGGGTGACTGGAATCTTTTAAGGGATTCCCCCCCCCCCTTGTGAAAAGCTTCTGGGATGAGAAGCGAAACGTTTTAAAGGGGGAGGGAAGGAACCCCCAAGAAAGTCCAGTTGCCTTTTGAAAAGCACCTTTGGGATCAATGGCTTTAAGCCAAGGGGTCTCCGACCTTGGCGACTTTTACCACTTGTGGAAGTCCACAAGTGGTAAAACTCGCCAAGGTCGGAGACCCCTGCTTTAAGCAACTGCCCTTTGTCTGCCGGCTTTATATCGGTTTATAACAAAGGCTTGCAGATCATCAGGTTCTTCTCGGAGGGATGCAGCCCAGCCTTGGCGGTGGGTGGGTGGTGGAGAGGCTGCCTGGCACCCGAGTACCAACGAAGTGGGGCTCCTAGGATTGAAATATCCGAGGGAGCCCCAAAGGAGCACATCCCTCTCTCATTCCAGTCATGGCCCTGGACAGCGCTTGGGCAGAGTCAACACAGACAAAGGGAAACAGTTAGCAAGCCGCCTCGACTTGCGGGGGTAAAGTGGGGAGCCGGTTTGGGGACCCCTCCCCCTTTATTGGCACTCTTAACTCTTGGCCTTGCTGGCCAGGACTGACGAAAGCAAAGGGAAAAGGCTCAAGCGGTTGCCCGAGTATCAAAAGAAAGAGCCTCCAATGTGCCTGTGGGACAATGAGCTTCCACAAGGCTTTTTCCAGGAGCCCCTCTCCGTCCTTCAAGGGGGCAGAGCTCCTGCCCGGCTCCCCAATGTTTTAAGTCCCAGCAGCGGTGCCCACATCTTTCTGATTTGCAGGGAGGGAGGGAGGGGGGGGACCCAAGTTCCAGAGCTGGGCTGCCCCCTAGTGGAGGAGACGGGTACTAACGGGGAGAAATCCACTGAAAACTTGCTTCTGCCGAGGTGTCTCCACCTGCCAGGCCTTTTCTCTGATCTCCTGGCTGCTGGGCTTGACTCAAAAGGGGGGCTTCTTTGGGGCAGGGGGAGCAGGATTAGAGGCCTGCAGGGTTAGAGCGCTCTCGGCTCCCTCTCGCCCGACCAACCCACCACGGAGCAGCTGAAGGGCCCACAACTATGGAGATGCCACATGGCAATTTGTGGCATGGGGTTGCTGCTCCCTCTCCAGATCCCCTGTGTTGTCTTAGGTCAGGTGGTCTTAGAAGCCCAGGCTGTCACCTGCCCCACCCCCCTCTCCCCAAAGCAGAGCTTGGGAGAAGCTGTGAGGGCCAACTAGGGCTTCCCTTCTGAAATCGTATGGCCGTTTCCTCGCTCTACACCTCCTTAAGGTGGACTACTAAGGACCCTGAGCCTCACCTCTCCTCCCCTACCCTGGGTAAGAGGCTGAATCCCGGCCGAGGCTTCTGCCGTGCCTCCAGCAGCAAGGAGAGCAGAAGAAGAGTGCCCCGATCCGGCAGACATAAGCGTGGGGGGCATTAGGAGCATGGCGTCTTTGGTCTGGTGGAAGAGTGGCAAATCTCGTTCAAATCTCCATCCTCCTTGGCCCACTCCCCAAGGAGGAAAAAACACTGAAAAAGGCTCACAGACAGAACAAGGGGGCGGGGGAGGGCAGGTGGAGCACTGGGCTAGCCCTCCTGGCCCCGATTCTGAGAGCAATCAGCCTCCGTCTCTTCCGTGGGAGGATCCTGGCTCTGCCAGACGTGGCAGGCTCGGCAAAGGAGGCGGCTACCTAGAGGGTAACACCCGTCCTCCGTGGGCTCCAGGGACAGCAAGACCTGACACTTCTACGGGCCAAAAGAAATGAGAGAGTCAGGAGGGCTGCCTCCTCGAGACCTCCGCAGAGCTTGCTTGCTTTGAAACCCTCATCCAAGTGGTGAAATCCAACAGGTTCTGGAGAACCGGTAGCGGAAATTTTGAGTAGTTCGAAGAACCGGCAAATGCCACCTCTGGCTGGCCCCAGAGTGGGGAGGAAATGGGGATTTTGCATTATCCTTCCCCTGGAGTGGGGAGGAAATGGGGATTTTGCAGTATCCTTCCCCTGGAGTGGAGAGGGAATGTGGATTTTGCAGTATCCTTCCCCTGCCACGCCCACCAAGCCACACCCACAGAACCGGTAGTAAAAAAAAAATCTGAATTTCACCACTGCTTCATCCCCTTTGCCAAGAACACTGTGTGGTTAGGGTGGGGGCCACGGGTCCTGGGGAGGAGGGAGCACGCCTTTTCCAAGTCGCTGAAACCCAGCTTGGAAGTTCTCCACAATTAAGGAGTGGGAAAGGGAGTTTCTGGAGCAAGAAAGCCGACCTTGATTTCCACAAGTCAGAGATGCTTCACGAAAGAGAGGTCATGCGACGATGCTGGCTTCTTTGCTCGGGCATCCTTCAAACGAAGGCCTCTTAAAGACACACACACACACACACCCCAGCTAGTGGTGAAATCCAAATTTTTTTACTACCGGGCGTGGCTTGGTGGGCGTGGCAGGGGAAGATTACTGCAAAATCTCCATTTTCACCCCCCTCAGGCCAGCCAGAGGTGGTATTTACCGGTTCTCCGAACTACTCAAAATTTCCGCTACTGGTTCCCCAGAACCATGCTGAATAGCACCCCGGCCCTCAGCCCAGTTCCCCAGACCCACCTCACACCGATAGCAGTCCTCGTGGAAGCTTCTGCCCAGGCACTCGATCCGGTACGCGTCCCTCCCGTCCTGCGGGATAATGGGCTCCTCGCAGACCCCGCAGACGGGAGCAAACCTCCTGGAAGGCAGGCAGGCAGGTTTTAACTCTAGGCTGGGGCAGGGCTTCCCCTGCCTTTCGTCCCTGTGCAAAACACACCCTCCCGCCCACCCCCAAAGGCAGAGAGCCACGATGTTGTACCGGTAAAAGTCTGGAAGGCAAAGCGCCCGCTGATCGTCATCCACGGCAAAGGCGTCGCTACCAATCTGTTGGCTGCAGGCCACGCAGGTGAAGCATTCAGGGTGGTATCCCTTTCCCACAGCCCACACAATCTCACTTTGGATGAAGGCTTGGCAGGCATCGCATTTCTCCAGGGTCTCCTGGGGTGGGCAGGAGGCGGCATGAGACCCAGGAAGGCGAGAGGCAGGCCGGATTCTCCTCCACCTCCCCGCTCCGCATGCCAGGCTGGCCATTGCTTAGGCATGCGATGGCGGACCTATCGCACACGTGCCACAGGTGGCACATGGAACCATTTCTGTGGGCACGCGGGCTGTCGCCCTAGGTCAGATCCACCACGCATGCACACACGCCTCCCACTGGCCAGCTGATTTTCAGGTCTCTGCCGCGAATGCGGGAGCCACGCGTGTATGCTCATGCCGCCCCTCCCCTCCCAGGAGTCTCCACGCGATCCGTTTTAGATATCAGGTACCCTGTTTCCCCTAAATTAAGACTTCCCCTAATAAGCCCAATTGGGCTTTTGAGTGCATGCACTAAAATAAGCCCCCCCCCGAAAATAAGCCCTCCCTGAAAATATTTAAACACATGCACAGCTGGTCCCCACCATTTCCTCTGGTTTCCTCCATGCGCCCCAAAATAATAAGACCTCCCCGAAAATAAGGCCAAGCGCTTATTTCGGGGTTCGAAAAATATAAGACAGGGTCTTATTTTCAGGGAAACACGGTAAGTACAGGGAGGCTCTGGGAAGGCAAGAAACAGGCCTACCGGAAGTCTGGAAACATGCCATTTCCGGCTTCCAGAGGAGGCTGTTTTCACCCTCCTGGAGGCTCCGGGAAAGCCTCCAGAGCCTGTGGAGGCCTGGCCTAAACCTTTTCCCCTTTTAAATGTAAATTTTAATTTGTTTTTAAATTATTGGGTATTTTAAATTTGTCTCAGCCAAATTATTTAATTCGTTTTTATCCTATTTTAAATTTTTGTATTTATGTGTTTTATTCTGTGGCTGTTCACCGCCCTGTGTCCTTCGGGAGTAGGGCGGTATATAAATCCAATAAAAGATAAAAGAAAGATAAAGATAAAAAACGGGCCTCCCGGAAGTACCAGAAGTCCGGATATGGGCCACTTCCGGCCTCTGGAGGCTTTAGGGAAGCCTGCTACGCCCAAAACGGGCCGTTGGGGGGGGGGTCGTGCACACCTGCACAAGAGGGCGGGGGGTTTGCGCACGCATGCGCAGGGGCATGGGGTGTGCAGGAGAGCATTGCATTATGGGTGTGGGGATACGCCTGTGCACAATAGCGCATGTGTGCGTTCTTGGCATCCGAGGGGGAAAAAAAAGGATTAGTCATCACTGGCCTAGGCCTTACCTGATAACAGGTCACGCACAGCGGCCGTCCCTCTTTCTGATAATAGCTCTGCCCTGCCAGGCTGCTGTGACACACCCGGCAAGTGAAGCACGTGACGTGGTACTGCTTCCTCATGGCCTCCAGAGCAACAGCGTCGGGCGTGATGCCCTTATGACAGAAAGCGCAGATATCTAGGGAAGACCGACGAGGTGGTCAGCCAGGCTCAAGTCGCCTCCCTGGAAACACTGAGGCAAGAGACCTCTGAGTGGGGACCGGGGAACAGCTCCTCACCTGGCGCTGCGGCCTCCTCCTCCTCCTCCTCTGCCTGTCCATCTGTCCAGCCGAGAGACAAGGCCGGCTGAGGCTCTTCCGTTCCAGAAGTCTGGAAAAGAGAATAGAACAGGCTTGAGTTAAGCCAAGCGCTTAAAGCAGTGATGGCTAACCTTTTTGCCATCGCGTGCCAGGAGGGGTGGGTGGGGAGGTTCGCGAGCAAGCGTGCCCACACCCATAATTCTATGCGCCCCACCCCGCACACGCAACCCCCCTTCCCCTTGCTCCTGGCACGTGATGTCCCGGTAGCCCCGTTTTTCTGTCTCACCTGGCTCCAGATCCTCTCTATGCATCTGGGGAGGGCAAAAACAGCCTTCCCCACCCCACCCACAGGCCCTCCGGAGGCAGGAAACAGCCTGTTTCCCTAATTCTGGTGGGCCCAGGAGGCCCAAAAATTAGCTGGCCGGCGCGTGCATGTGCGCCCTAGCTGAGCTGGCGTGCCAGGCGACATGGCTCCGTGTGCCACCACGGGCTTAAAGGAAAGCAAAGTGGATTTCAGAGTTTGCCAAAAGGAGCAAGGAGGCACAGCAACCTAGCTATTGTGGGTCAAGGGTGGGGAGGTCTTTAATTAAAGATTAAGACTCTTCCTTGGTATTCTTTTTTTTTTTTTGGAAAGCTGCAAAACAGGGTGTGCGGAGGCCGAAATGCGGCCTTGAGCCTCTCGAAATTGCCTTCTCGCTTATTTCATTTTAAAAAGCCAGACAAAGTGGCATGATTAAAGGGAAGGATCCAGGAGATCACCAGGTGGCCATTACACCACATTTAAAACTTTATAATCAAGCCTGTATTTTAATTCTTGCAACCGCAGCCCAGCTGGCCTGGAAAGGCTTCGTCTGCGAAAGAGAATTTACCTGCAGGGAGGCGGGTGAGGGGGCTGCTCCCTTCTGCAGATCCGGGCCCAGGGTCTCCACTCGGAGGGCAGCGGGCTGCAGAGACCCCAGGACAGCCTCCACGGGCTGAGGAGGGTCAACAGGAGGAGGCGGCAGCAAGGCAGAGGAGCCTGCAGGAGGGAAGGAGCTTAGAGGGATCTGGGTTTTCGAGCCAGCCAAGACCCTTCAGCCAGAGCAACCGCAGGGCTGGGGGTTCCCACTTAGCCTATTCAGGGGCCCCGGGGGTCCAAAGGGTGGCAGGGGGCTCACCTGCACCCGGAGCGCTGCTGGGCCCCCTCCCCTCTTTATGAGGGACCGGCTTCTCAGTGGGAAGGAACAGAGGGGCCTTCGCAGGACCCCCGCAGCCCCTGCGGGGCGGCGCGAGGATGATGAAGATGGAGGAGACCACGCGCTTCTCCGTCTTCTTGTCTGAGAGCATCCCCACCTGAGAAAAAGGGTGAGGCAAGAGGCAACCTCAGAGGGGTTCTCCCTCCAAGCCCCCACCCCACCCCACTCCCCTCCCGGCAGAGAAAGCCACAAAAAAGGGGTCCAGGGAAACATAAAGTTTGAAGAAAAAAAAAAAAGCACACCCACCCCACAGCTGATTCCCAGGCCTCGCCCACCCACCCCCTTTTCTTCTGTGCCCAGAGTTGGAAGAAACCCAGTTTCTTCTGTCCCCTCCGAGAGGGGAGCCTCAAATGGGGCAGGAAGATGGATGCATGGCATCACCAGGCATCCGCCCCTCTGCAGGAATAGAGGGGGTAGGTGGGCACCGCGGCTTCCAGTTTGTGGGGTCCCAGCCAGTGGTGAAATCCAATTTTTTTTTACTACCGGTTCTGTGGGCGTGGCTTGGTGGGCGTGGCGAGGGAAAGATACTGCAAAATCCCCATTCCCTCCCCACTCCTGGGGGAAGGATATTGCAAAAATCTCCATTCCCTCCCCACTCTGAGACCAGCCAGAGGGTGGTCTTTGCCGGTTCTCCGAAATGCTCAAAATTTCCGCTACCGGTTCATCAGAACCTGCTGGATTTCACCCCTGGTCCCAGCGTTAGGGACCACACCGCCTGTTCCGCGGGGCTAAGGGGACGCCCCAGCTGAGCTCCCCGCTCGGCTGCCGGAGGAAAGACAAAGCGGGGACTTTTCGGGGAGGGGGAAGGGGGTCCAGCCAGCCCACGCGGGGGGGGGGACTCTGCCTGGAGCGGCTCTCCGGACGGCGGGGGTCCCTTTGCAAAGAAGCGCTGCCCTCCCACTCCGCCCTTCTCCCCGGGAAAGGAGGGAAGTTGGGGGTGACTTCCCCGAGAAAGGCTGCCCAGAGAGCATCTCGTCCCCGAAGAGATCCGGACGCCCAGGTAAAGCGGCGGATGGGGTGGGCGGCTCGATCATTCCTGAGACCACCGCCTCTCGAACTCACCTGGAAGCGGCAGCGCAGGACGGGCGGCTGCTTTTCCCTCCAGCCGTGGCTCGCTCAAACACCTTCTGCCTGCCGCCTGCCTGCCTTGCCCGGGGGTCGAGCAGCCGCGCCCCGCCCCGCCGCCGCCGTTGTGGCCGTAAAAGGCGAGGGGCGTCTATCAAAAGCGGCGCTTTCCTGTACCTGCCCGGCCCTCCCGCGCCCCGCCCCTCCCCTCCCCTCCCCACTGGAACTCGCCGCGCCCTCCTTCCCCCCTCCCCTTGGTGGTGGGGCTGAGGCTCCCGCATGCCCCCTCTGTGCTCCCAAGCTCTCTCCCCCCCCACAAAAAAAAACCAGTTGGATCGCGGGACCCATCATCCCCAGGCGGGAGGCATCCTCAGATCCCATCTTCCTCTGGGCTGAGCCAGGAAGGAGGGCTGTTGGCTGGGGCTCCCTGGTTCAGCAGGAGGACCGGATTCCCCCACCCCTCTTCCCACCTGGGGGAGGAAGGGGACCCTATGTAATAGTAAGAGAGTTGGAAGGGAACTTGGAGGTCATCTAGACCAACCCCCTGCTCACAGCAGGGGATCTGTACTAGGGATTCGAACCAGTGGTGAAATCCCATTTTTTTTTTTTTTTTACTCCCGGTTCTTTGGGTGTGGCTTGGTGGGCATGGCTAGGGGAAGTTTACAGCAACATCCCCATTCCCTCCCCACTCCTGGGGGAAGGTTATTGCGAAATCTCCATTCCCACCCCACTCCAGGGGAAGGATACTGCAAAATCCCCATTCCCACCCCACTCTGGGGCCAGCCAGAGGTGGCATTTGCCGGTTCTCCGAACTACTCAAAATTTCCGCTACCGGTTCGTCAGAACCTGCTGGATTTCACTCCTGATTCGATCCGCCGAACTGCCTGATCGACAAGCTCAGTGTCTTAGCCACTGAGCCACCTAGTCAGGCATCCTTCTCCCCCCTCCCCCATAACGCTTCTGTCTGGCCATTCAATCCGAGGAGCCCCCTCCCCTCTCTCCCCCCTCGGGGGCCCACTCTGGTTGTTTTGTTTGGCCCATTTTGTGGGGGCCAACCCCCTTGGAAAGAAGCTTGGGGATGGGCAGGGGGCTTGACTGCTGCCCCTCCCAGCCGCTTACCTCTCTTCCGAGGGGAGCATTTTGGTCACACAAGCTGAAGCCCAGAAGCGTCGCTCGGGCCCCACTACTTTTGACGGCTGGGCCCCAGTTGTGCCCAGATGAGGCGGACATCACTATCCTATACCGAGAGTGTGTGGACCCAATCCTCGCCCGTCTTCTGATTGTCCAGCCCCATCTATTGGCCGGAGGATGCCCTTCCTGAAGCGGGCACAGCTCGGCTCAGGTTCTCTCTCGCATAGCTCGCTTGGTAGATATCAGCATCAAGCAAAGCTTTCCCGAGCGCATCTCGAGGGGAGCCAGGCAGAGGTTTACCCCAAAGGTCGGGCCAGTGTCTGAGGACTCCCCCAGGACTGCTCCAGCGGCAGGAGAAGGGCGGGGAGGGGCACTGCAGCTCAGCCTCCTCGACTCTTCCTAGCTGCATCCGTAAGGGGAGGCTTTGCATGACATGAACCCAGCCGGTCAGTGGTGGGATTCAGCCGGTTCGCACCACTTCGGGAGAACCGGTTGTTAACTTTCCGAGCGGTTTGGCAAACTGGTTGTTGGAGGAAATCATTAGGGCAGAGAACCGGTTGTTAAATTACTTGAATCCCACCACTGCAGCTGGTTCCCACTGGCTTCTTCGGCCAGGAAACAAAGGCGGCTTTCCCAGCCCCCCCCCACTCCTCTCCCCAATTCCGTCTCTAGCCGGAGCCGCTCAGGTCCGACTGCAAACTGGTAAGAGCCACCAAAATTGGCTCGAGGCTGCCACCTGCTGGGCTCATAGGGAAAGGGAGACCCATCACCTCCCGTTGGTTAGAATGAGCTTTGCAAGACAAATCGGTCACACCTCCTGGGGTCAAAGGTTACCAGTAAGGAAAGGAATCCGGCCCCTTCACCTATAGGCAATCTTTGGGGGCCATGCCTGCCCCATACCCCACCCCGTCTTTGACCGGGACAGCCTCTGGCTTGGGGTGGGGGGCATTTCCTTGGTGCTCTCGTCCTGGAAGGTGGCTCTTGGGGGCAGGGAGGGTATCCAAGAGAAGCCAGATTTTTTTTGGGGGGGGGGGTTCTGGAAAGCAGCATCTGAGGGAGCCCTGCGCCCTTTTGAGGTTTGCACCAGTGGTGGAATTCACATTTTTTTACTACTGGTTCTGTGGGCGTGCTGTGGCTTGGCGGGCGTGGCAGGGGAAGGATACTACAAAATCTCCATTCCCACCCCATTCCTGGGGGGAAGGATCCTGCAAAATCTCCATTCCCACCCCACGCCAGGGGAAAGATATTGCAAAATCTCCATTCCCACCCACCTTCTCGCCCTGACACCCGTCATTTTGGAGATGCCCCGTGGAGTGAGGGAGGGAAAAGGGCTTCAGCCAACTGTCAGCCACCCAGGAAAAAAATGCCACAAATGCTTGGAGCGCAGGAAAAGATCGATGAATAGCAAACGCCTTACAGGGCATCGGATAATCCCCACGTGTATGTCTGTATATAGAAGTCTTGTATATACTGCAAAGCACTGTTTGTAAGACAAAACCTCTGTGTCCTGTATTTTGCTCCTGGGTTGTCTCAAAATAGTAGTCATGCTATAAACACTCTGACAGAATTGCTGAAGGGGGCAGCGGTGTGCCGAGAGGGAACCCACGAACCCATTTGACACCAAAGGTGGAGAGCCCAGACAGAAGGAGCTGGGCCTGTGGCCAGCCTGGTCTACGGTCTCTAGGCTGGGCCCTTCGTGAGAGGCTTCACCTTTTCAGGACGTGGCCTCTGGCGCTGCTGCCGCCGCCGGAGATTTTGAGGGGCGCTCTCGGCGCTGACCGCGAGGTGGACCAGATGTCGATGAGGAGAGCGAGGGGCTCTCATCCTGAAACGGAAAGCAAATGCAAAATACACGGAAGGGCCAGCTTCCCTCCAACAGCGCCTGGACTCGCAGCACAGGAGGCCTTTTGCTTACGTTGGTTAGTCTGGACCTCTGGACTTTGGGTGAGGCGGGGAGAGGGAAGCAAAACCACCCCCTTTTGCTCAGCTAGTGAAGACAGCAATGGGCCGATCAGACCCTGAGCTCCATTTAAAGGGAACTTCCCAGAGGTCAGCAGAGATGCAGCTGAGAGGCTGGGCTGATTCTGTTGTGGTCCACCAGCAGCCTGCGGAGCTGGCAGCGGAGTCGGACAGTCAAAAGGCTGGGGAGGACCATGGGCCAGTTCTGGAGTCAGGGAAAGGCCCGGACGAGCGCTCTGCGTCAGAGGCAGAGATGGGGCCAGGGCTATCTGAGAGGAATGAGCAGACTCCAGAGCCTCCAGAGTCGGACAGCAGAGAGGCAGAGGAACAGGAGGAGCCTGTTCCTAGTGCACGCATGCGAAGAGCTGCCAGAAGGCAAGAGCAGCTAAAGCAAAAAGGATGACTTGGGAGTAAGGCCAGGAGATGATTTGCCCCTCCCAGAAGGCTTAAAAGAGCAGCAATGGCTCTTGGGCTCTTTGTAGGAAAGCAACGTTGCTACATTTGTTTCTTGTTGGCTTCTGGTTTCTGAACTTCGTGGGGCTTTGCCAAGAAAAGTCTTTGGCAAGGTGCCAAAGAAGACAAAGGTTTGTGATAAGGCCGAAGGACTTTTTCTGAAGGACTTGTTTTGGAATTAATTTGGACTAAGCTGAGAATGAAGTAATTCTCAGCCGTTCTAATAAAATATGTTTGTTTAGGACTGATTGTGTCTGGTAATAACTACTTGGGCCTAGGTCACAACAGCTTCTGCCTGCGGTCCGACCACCTCCTCCTCCTCCTCACCTGCTTTCTGCACACCTCCAGCATGGATCCGCTCCGGGTCAGGCACCAGATCTCCCCCACCAGCGAGATGAGAATGTTTACGATGTCCCTCCACTGGCCCACCGTCATCAGCAAGATCAGAAGGCCACCCATCCTGACAAAGACGGTCTGGAAAGCCATCTGCTGGTTGGGATTGTGATGCTGCTCTTCTGTTGGTCAACCGGACAGAAGGAAGCAGGTTAGCCGGAGGAGCCAGGCAACCCCTTCCACAGAGGGAGGCTAGCCGCTGCTCAGAGAGGATCCCCAACGCTCCAGGGAGGGGAAGGGCAAACAGGATGGGGTCTGCAGGCAGCCCTGCTTTCCGTGGGGCCAGGGTCGGCGTTCGCGAAACCAGAAACAACTCACCCTGCATGTAGATGACCAGAAGCGTGTAACAGATGGTCAGCGGCGTCCAGAATCGGATGGCCTCGGAGGTCGAGAGGAAGTCCCGGTTGATCAGAGCCACGGCCGCCAAGTCGGCTACCCCAAAGGTCACCCGAAGGGCGTTGCAGAGCAGCCGGGGAATGCCGTGCCACGTGGCGAGGAGGAAGAGGCACCCCCCGCAATAGCGCTCCTTGCAGTGCAGCTCGTACATCGTGGAGACGTGCCAGGCCAGGCGCCAGACGTAGTGGGTCAGGAGCGTGGCCAGCCCCACACTCAGGAGGAGGTTCCAGGTGCGATGGGGCGCTCCTTCCTGCAGGTAGCCGAGGCTGCAGGAGACGCCGCAGCCCAGCGAGTATTGGCAGAGCAGGTAGAGCTGGCTGCTCAGGGCTCCCTTGGGAACAAGAAGCGGGTGGCCTCTTGGTGACACGGAGGCCTACTTAGCCACCTGCCTGCCAAGAACTCTGGGCAGCACACACAATAAAATAAAACCTGCTTAAAACAATGCAGTGCCAATGTGGAGGCCCTGATACAACTCACATCTGTCCAGCCACCACCCTGTGCAAGCTCCATCTCCATCCAGGCCCCTCCATCCGCAGGGGGATGTTGGGGCCTACTCAACAGGGAGAAACACAAGGGCACCAAGGGGAGTGTGGCTCCCCATTCAAATGATGGGTGGGAGAAAAGAAAGCAAGGAAGCCATCGGCCGCCTCCTGACAGAGGCCACGGTGGAGGCAAGAGGCATTACTCTCCGAGCAGGAATTCGGTGCCTCTCAAGTGGCCCTTAAGCCGGCATTGCACAACTTTTTCTCTGGCCACATTCTCTGACCTGTGTCTGGGGTTCCGCCCACTTCTCCCCGCACCCCTCCCCCAGCCAGCCCCGATGCAGAAACAGGAACGAGATGGGCAACCTTGTTGAGGGAGAGGATGGTGGACACTGCCCGGAGGGAGAACTCCAGGACGATCAGGGCGGCCACCCGGTGCCCCACCATGGTGAAGATGGCCGTCAGCACCACGAGATGGAGCTGGTCCAGGAAGGGTTGCTGCCGCCGGAGAACCTCCTTCTCCTTCTGCCTGTCAGGGTCACTGGAGAGGATAAAGGGGGGAAAAGCGAGATGGGTCTACGGGGCAGCCAGACAAGCGTTCCACCCACGTGGTATTATTTAGCCAGTTCTATCCATTTCAGGCAAACTGGTAGCAGCAGCTGCGGAAGGATCCGCCCACCACCTGGACATCATCATGTCCTGTTTTTGATGCTCTGTGCATGCGCTCACATTTAAGAACTGGTAGCGAAGGTAAGTGAATAACACCCTTGGTCCCATCCCTGCACGGCCTCCTGGTTGACCCAGGCAAGGGTCAACCATCAGCTATGGGGAGTGCCCAGGGTGGTGGTGGAGGGCTGCACCGAATGTGGACTTCCTTCCTTTCCCGACCCCGGGGACCCTCCCAGCAGGCACTCACTTCAAGCACTGGATGTAGAGGTAAATCCTCATCAGGCTGCCCAGGATGCAGACAGCACAGGCCCCCACCAGCCCTGTAGGGAAGCAGAGGTCAGCCAGGAAGGAGGGGAGGGAGGGAGGGAACGTGGGGAGAGGGAGGGAAGGCATTGGGGGTGGGCATGGGGAGAACTCACCCTGTAGGAGGGAGTCCACAAGGCTGGAGGTCCAGGCCAGCGGGAGGAAACCCTGCACCCAGGCGAGCATTGTGGCCCGTGCTACTCCCAGGTTCCTCTCAACGGCCTCGGCACAGGAAGGACCTTGAGCCCAGAGTGAGCAAATAAACTGGGAGGAGGGGGACGACGACAGTGGGCAGGCTGGCTCAGCCTTTTCTGCCTTGGGAAAGGCCCTCCCAGCAGCAGCAGCACGTGGAAGGCACCTCCGCCGCCTCTTCTTCATTCCAAGGCTCTGCCCTATGGGCTGGGGATGATGGGAGCCACAGATTTTGGGTAGCTTTGCTCCAATTCTTCCAGCCCGAGGTAGGAGCTGTGAGGGGGGAACCAGGGCCTCCTGCCCAGGTAAGGAGTGGTGGTGGTGGGGGAAGGAAGGCATTCCCAGCTTTAGAGGGCAAGCTGTAGGGCCAAAAAAACCAGCCTCCCCTTTTTGCGGCTTAAGAGGATCCACTGAATCAGACGTATTAAGCAGGCAATCAAATGTGTGTGCGCGCGTGTGTCCAATGCCTCTGAAGATGACAAAGCAGCTAAAGGTTGGGACACTTGCACCCTCGGTCTGAAGGTCCACAGCCGCCTTCCGTCCCAGTATTCGTGAAACACCCCTTAAAAGAGACACCTCAGACAGGAAGCCCTGCTCCGCTTGGCTTCCTTCCTCACCTGGAGGACCGGAGAGTCGCCCGCCACTGGCCTCAGGGCCAGGCCAAGCCCTCCTGCCAGGGGGAAGACACGTGGGTCCGGGCCTCCCTCCACTGCAGCATGGGTGCCAGATTGCAGGCTCTTCCTTTCCTCGGGCAAGCTCCCAAATCCATCCTTCCTCAGTGCCCTCCCTCCCTCTCAGCCAGAGTCTTCCCTCTGACCAGGCTCAGCCCCGGACGGAGGCCGACTCTGCCCCGCTGAGGAGCTGGCTCAGCCTGAGCCATCGGCGCATGAAGCAGGAAGCTCTGATCCCGTCTCCTACCCCGGTCCCTCGGCCGCTTGTGGTCACCCCTTTGAGTGAGGACCCAGAGGGGCTGGGCCACACAAGGATTGCTCTCTCGTTTGTGGAAACAGAGCCTTTATTTATTTATTTATTTTTTACAACAGAAACGGAAGTTGCGCCCCGTAGCCGATTCTCCGTCCCAGACCTGCAGCGCCAGGCCAGGTGGGGGGAGGGTGTGTGTGGGGTCACCGAGGAAATCCAGGGCCATCCGGTTCGGGACAGCAATTAATTCTCAGCCCCACCTTCTTGCATCTCTGAACTTGGGCCCTTGGACCCGGCGCCTCAGCCGTTTCCCGGTGGCTTAAAACCAAAAACCTGGCTAATTTTGCCAACTAAACTTTGCCCGACCAACAAGGCAAGGGGGAAAAAAAAAGATGCTTCCAATAAGCAACCCATAAATCCGGGGGGGGGGGAAGAAACCCAATGCCCTTTTCCTTCCTGTGGTTGGCGCAATCTACGGCCAAGCCTTTGGCCACTGTGGCCTCCCTGCCCTTGCTGTGTTGACGGCTGTGTTGGGACTGGCATCTGGACACTACCCAACCCCAGGGATGGTTGCAACCAGTCCCTCCTGTGCTCCCCACCTCGTCCCTTCTCATGGCCCCCCAAGGTCAGAAGAGGCAATGGGGCTGCTCCCAAACTCTCCGTCCTAGAAGTATCCCCTCCGCCGCAACTCCAGCGAAGGAGGCTTCAGCATTTCCAAAGCAGGAAGGGCCCCTTTTCTTCTCGTCTCTTAGAATCCTCTCTCTCTCTCTCTCTCTCGCTCTCTCTCTTTTCCTCCTCTTCCTTTCCTGCTTTACCTGCTCTCCCTCTTCTGTGAGAAAAATTAGAGTGCAGCTGCTGTGGATTCTTGGAAGAGGGAGAGATGCTCTGCCACTCCTTCCCTGTGGCACCTGCCTTTCTGATTCTGGCCTTGGAGCAGTGGTGGGATTCAGCCGGTTCTCTCCGGATCGTGCGAACTGGTAGCGGCGACTACGGGAGGCTCTGCCCACCCGCCCGGACGTAATGTGCGACTACTGCACTTGCGCAGAGAAGGCGCGTGTGCTCACATTTGCGAACCGGTAAGGAAGGTAAGCGAATCCCACCTCTGTCCTGGAGTGTAAGTCAAATTTGTGTGTGGGGGGGAGAGACGACTCCTGGGGGGGGGGGAGGAGTAAAATCCAGTCTGCTTGGAACAGTCTCAGGTGGTGAATTTCGCACTGACCCCCGCCCTTCCCCCCAAAAAGGGCGGTGGTTGAAGCTTCAACTTTGCTTGAAGGTTATAACTGGCTCTGCGGCAGGTCCTTCATTCTCCAGCCGCCATCACTGCTCCGTATCTGGACAGACGGACCTCCTGGCGCTCCAGCTGGAGAAAGAGCTCTTTGCTCTCCTGTCCTCCCCCCACAGTCCTGCTCTTTCTGGGGCTGGAGGCTCCTGAGCAGCCTGGGGGTCATCAGGTGGCCTGCTGCCAATAGTGATCCTCCTCAGCTCATCCCAGAAGAGAAGGCTGAGAACGGTGTGTGGTCCCAGGCGGAGGTAAACGGGGCCGAAGCCCTTATACACGGCCAGGACGCCTTCCTTCCCCGAGACCCGCACGACGCAGTCGAAGAAGCCCCGGTAATGCTTGCCCTGCAGGGGGAGAAGAGGACAGGGCCGGTTGACAGGGTAACGCTTCCCCCTCTCTGGCCTCCAACCCAAACGAGCACGGGTGGGCTTCAAAAATTTTAGCAAGGGGTTCTCTGCCTGGTTGCTGGGTGGGCGTGGCCATGGTGGGTGTGTCCTAGTCAGCTTCCTGCACCATGGCAGCAGGGGTGCTTTTTGCCCTCCCCAGGCTCCGGAGGCTTTCATTGAGTCTCCAGGAAGGTGAAAACGGCCTCCCCAGGCTCTGGAGGCCCTCTGGAGACCTTCCCGAACTTTCAGTAGGCCAGTTTTTCACCCTCTCCGATCCTCTGCATGCACTCTGCACTTGCCTGCATACAAAACAGGCCGCATGAGGACTCCTGGGGCAGGGCGGACGGGGCCAGCCAGGAGTGGGATTTGGGGGTTCTCCAAACCACACAAAATCTTAGCTAGAGGTTCTCCCGAACCCCTGCAAACCCCCAGCACCCCACCCCTGCAAAGGGGGTATCGAGCCCCTCTACAAGCCAGCTTCCTCCGTGGCGAGCCTCACCCTTCCTGCTTCATCCACCGGCTGGTTGTAGAGCCGTGTGCTCACCACATCAAAGGGAGTCATGGCCACGGCCACGGCCACGCTGCTGATCATGCCCCCAGCAAGGGCCACCATCCAGCTGCCTTCCTTGAACCACTGGGAAGCGAAAAGCCAGAGAAACCATCTTGGCAACGGCAAATCCAGTGTTCCGCAGGCCACCACGGACGCTTGGGAATGGGCCTGGGGAAGCAGGGTGGCTGGGAAAGGCCAAAGGGGAGCTCCCACAGGTGAATGGGATGCTGGCCAAAGGCCCACCCCATTCAGGAGACCCACACACAAACACACGCACTGAGCCTGCTCACCTGCTGCCTTGCCACCCACTCCCTGGCAGAGGCAAAGGTGGCCAGCTGCACCGAGGAGCCCACCGTGACGCGAGGCACTGCTCCGCTCACGCCGCGCCACAGCCCCAGCAGCCCCTGCCGCTTATAGATGGCCTCAAAGGCCCCGGAGATGCTCTGGAAAGCGGCAGGAGAAGACAAGCAGCTCAGACCAGCGCCCCTGCCTCGGGCCAGGCCAGGGAGAGAGAGAGGGGCCTGAAACAGGAGGAACTTTTCTAGCCTGCAGGATCCACCTAGAAAGGACTAGGAAAATGGCATCCGACGGCACCAAGCTGATCCCTGCCCTGTCAGCAGGGGCCACGTAAAGGACCTGGCTGCGGAAAGATTCCTCGCCGAGGAAGCTGCGTCCTTAACAGACAAAACGGTGAGAGGACCAGACTCTTCTACCTAGGATATTTTGCTGGGGGTGGATGGGTGTGAGGGGCTGCTGTGAGGTGGGCTCTTTGGGGACCTGGCCAGCAGCCAGCTAGGAAAACGCTTCCATCCCGAAGTCGGCCTTCGCAAAGCCCAGCTCTAGGGACAGGGCAGGCTGAGAGTTTTTCAGGCCGGCCGGCTAGCTAGCCATGCTGGGCCACTGCAGCCGAGAGTGGAGGTTTTGTCAAGCCAGTGGTGCTGAGCTTCCCAGAAAGCAATCCTCTCAGTTTGGGACGGACAGCCGATGCAGCTGCTATGGGTTTGCCTGGGGGACCAATCGGGCCTCCCCTCGTCCCTCCTCCTTGGCAGTGCCCGAGGTCGCAAGGCCTCCCTTGGCCTCACCTTGGACGGGAGGGAGGCTCCGTCCAAGGACTGGGACTGCTCAGGCGTGACCCCTGGCAGAAGCGCCCCTGGCACACACACCCCCAAGAGGAGTTCTGCAAAGCGGCCAAGGCTTCTGCCAAGATGGGCAAAGGTAGCTCTGGACAGAGTCCCGGACCAAGAAAGGTGCCCCCCCCCTCCATCACACCTCCCAACCGAAGCCTGTGTCGAGTGAGATGGCCTCGGACCTTGTGGTTGTGCTGGTGTCCCACAGCGACGGCAGCTGCCGACTGTGCTTGCAGATGCGTCTTGACCTACAAGAGGTAAGCAAATGTGTTGAGGACGGGACGGGATGGAGGGTGGGGTGGGAAACCAACTCTCTCCCACTGACTTGCACCCGGGTCTTTTCGGAAGCCCAGGGCCCTCAGCCTGCACTAGCCCTGCTGAGGACAGTTAGTTTGCTTCCCTCTTCAGGGATACTAAGCTAAACCCCCCCCTCCCCCATCCCATCTGGGCTCTCTTCACAAAGGGGCTGCCCAGGTGCGCAGCTGCCTAATCAATAGGACTTCACTCTTGCAGGGAGCAACTGGAGCTCCCACTTAAGGCAAAAGCTGGCTTTTTGGAAAAGCAGGGCCTGTGCAGAGGGAGAAGGCACTATGGCCAGCTTGCACTGGGCCACCGCAGAGCCATTTTTGGATCAGGTTTCTTTTGACAGCTCTCTTGGGCTGCAAATGCCCAGGCAACAAGCCTGCAGACTTTTTAAAAACTCGGCACCTCCCTGGCGAGAAGCCGAAAGATGCACCACTCTAGCCAGCTTCCATGCCCGTAGCTTTGCGGGCAGCAAAGGAGGAGAAGGGACTCTGGTGCCCATGGAAGCACCCTGGGGAATGGGGAGTACCTCGAGTGCCACCCCAAAGAGGCACCTCCAGCCTCACAAACCCCTCAGAGCCCGCAGCAGCTGTCCTGCTGGAGAGGACCTCCGAGATATCCAAGCCCTTGCTGTGAAAAGGGGGTGCAGCCACAGCTGGCATATCAAGGGAGGCCAACCACACAGGAGACGCCACCCCCACCACCTCCATGCCTGATCTGCAAGAGGGACAACATTGGCCAAGCGAGCCAAGGTTCTGCCCGGGAGAACCCCCCTCCCCCCTTTAAGAGGTTTACCAAGTAGGCCGGGCTGCCGACAAAGGCCCCCAGTGCTCCGGCCACGGCTCCGGCTGCCAAGGTCCCTCCCGGATGCTGGGTCAGGCCGATATCTTCAGCGTGGGAGTAGGAGCCAAACCGCACGCCGTTCATCATCCCCTGGTACAGCAGTCCGGCTGCCAGTCCTTTCTGCAGACCCCGGAGTCCATCGGCCTGGCTGACGGCCACCATGGCCTGCAGCACCCCTCGGTAGTGGCGAGGGTACGAGCCCCGGGAACGGAGCTCCCCCTGCAGCTGCAGGCGCGTCTTCACCACCTCCAGCGGGTTGGTGAACACGCAGGCCATGCAGCACGCCGCGGCACCCAGGACAAAATCCACCGGCGGGGAGAGGGAGGCTGCTGCCGGGGGGCGGGGGGAAGGCTCCATGGGGCGGCTGCCACCAGCCCAGGCGGAGAGACGGGACCCGAGGCCTCCCCACCCAAGCAGGAGCCTTGCAGCGGCAGCCCTGACAGGAGGCGAGAGGGCCCCTTTCTTCCCGCAGGGCTGGCATCGATGCCCCCGACGGCCCTCCGGAGCTGCACTGAGCCCTGCCCAGCATTGACAGCCCTGGCTCTCTGCTCCAGCCCGAGCTGTGCTTCCCTCTGGGTGAAACCAGATCAGAGAGGGACTTTATTTGCTGCTCCACCAGTGGGCTGGGCAGGGGAGGGAAGCAGGTGGCTGGCTGCATGTAGGAGAAAGGTCACCAGCGGCTGGGTCCACCCACTGTGGCAAAGGCCAGCCCCTCCTCACAGCCTCCTACCTCCAGAGCTGGCTCCCATACCTGCCAGCTCCACCCCCTTCCTGCCCCAGGGGAAGAGGCTGTTTCTGAAAGCAGCCTCACCTCCGCCCCCACTCTCCTCCCAGCCCTGATGAGTGACACAATGGTTCTCCTGTCCTGTTCTGTTGGGCAGGCCCCAGTAGGCTCTCAAACACACAGTCCTTGGGGAGGAAGGTCTGCTGCCAAGAACCGATCCCGCAGGGTGGCAGGAGGGGGAAACAAGGGGTTAAAGTTGCTGGGGGCACAAGGAGCTTTCCCCAAGCTTCTGGCTTGGACAAGCACAGCCTCCGCTGCTGGCACACACAGAACTGAGCGGTAACAATAACAGTAGTTGGAAAGGTCATCCAGTCCAACCCCCTACTCATGCAGGAGGGATTCGAACCGCCGAACCGCTGACCTTCCTGATCAACAAGCTCAGTGTCTTAAGCCACTGAGCCACCACAACCCTCACCGAGCAGCCGCTCCAGGGTTCAAAAGCACAGGCAGAGTTCTGGGTCTGTGGCTCCAGCAGGGAGGGTATCACAGGAGAAGGGCAAGACTACGGAAGGCGTCATGTGGGGACATCATGAAGGGGGGGGGGGGGGGGGCGCATGACGGGGCCCGCCCCCCCCCCGACCTTCACCAAGCTGGTGAGGCAGCCCCCTTTCCAAGCCCTTGAGAGCCACGGAGACCCCCCCCTTGCGTTTGTGGGCCACTGGGCCTCACCCCACGAAGACAAACTTAAGAGGGACCTTGTGGAAACCGGCTTCTCTGCAGTTGGCGCTGCGCAAGGTTTGGCTGGAGCCTCGTCAGCCTTATTAACCGAAGATAGCACTAGCACGAAGACTTATATACCGCTTCACAGTGCTTTACAGCCCTCTCTAAGTAGTTTACAGAGTCAGCCTATTGTCCCCCAAACAATCTGGGTCCTCATTTGACCGACCTCGGAAGGATGGAAGGCTGAGTCCACCTTGAGCCAGTCGGGATCGAACTGTTGGCAGTGGGCAGAGTTCTAACCACTGGGAGGGAGGGAGGGAGGGAGGGAGGGAGGGAGGGAGGGAAGGAAGGAAGGAAGGAAGGAAGGAAGGAAGGAAGGAAGGAAGGAAGGAAAATAGCAATAGCACTTAGACTTATATACCACTTCACAGTGATTTATAGCCCTCTCTAAGCGGTTTACGGAGTCAGTCTATTGCCCTCAACAATCTGGGTCCTCATTTTATCCACCTCAGAAGGATGGAAGGCTGAGTCAACCTTGAGCTGGTCAGGACTGAACTGCTAGCAGTCACCAGTCAGCCGGCAATACTGCATTCTCATCACAGGGAGGGAGGGAGGGAGGGAGGGAGGGAAGGAAGGAAGGAGGGAAGGAAGGAAGGAAGGAAGGAAGGAAGGAAGGAAGGAAGGAAGATAGCAATAGCTCTTATAGACCGCTTCACAGTGCTTTTGCAGCCCTGTCTAAGCGGTTTTACAGAGTCAGCCTCTTGCCCCCAACAATCTGGGTCCTCATTTGAGCCACATCGGAAGGATGGAAGGCTGAGTCAACCTTGAGACAGTCAGTCAGGATCGAACTCCTGGCAGTGGGCAGAGTCAGCCTGAAATACTGCATTCTAACCAGAGGGAGGGAGGGAGGGAAGGAAGGGAAGGAAGGAAGGAAGGAAAAATAACGATAGCACTTAGACTTATATATCGCTTCACAGTGCTTTGCAGCCTTCTCTAAACAGTTTACAGAGTCAGCCTATTGCCCTCAACAATTTGGGTCCTCATTTTACCGACCTCGGAAGGATGGAAGGCTGAGTCAACCTTGAGCCTGGTGAGACACAAACTCCTGGCAGTGGGCAGTTAGCCTGCAATACTGTATTCTAACCACTGGGATGGATGGATGGAAAGAAGGAATAGCAATAGTATTTAGACTTGTATACTGCTTCACCGCCCCCTCTAACCGGTTTTAGAGAATCAGCCTATTGCCCCCAGCAATCTGGGAACCTTATTTTACCGACCTCGGAAGAATGGAAGGCTGAGTCAACCTTGAAGATCTTGGACATGGGCTCTGGGCCAGGTCAGGGTCTCGGGCGGGCACTTCTGCAGGGCATGGCTGTAGGAAACGGATCTGAGGAGTTCTGAGAGCAAGAGGCCGAAAAACGTTGGACTTTGGAAGTCACTTCCCGCGACCCTCCTGGAGAAGCTGCTACCTATCTCTAGCGCTCGGTGGCAAGCGAGGCCCAGGCCGAGCAGAGCGAGCCAGCGGGTGGTCTCGGGCACCGGAGGAAGAGGAGGTGGCTGAGCAGGCAGGCACGCAGTGCTGGGTATCGCCAAGTTGCCTTTATTAGAAGGGCTGTGGCCACGCGTCTCCAGGCACACTGTTCCACAGAGGCCTCTCCTGGGAAAAGGCCCCTGCGGGAACACATACAGCACATTAGCAGGTCTCCCGTTCGTTAAAATTAAGAGTCTAAAAAATAAGAAAAGCTTTTTAAAAAAAACAAAAACAAAAAAACTCCCAGGCCTCTACAACTACTCCTAGCCCGACGGTTTGAAAGATTAAACTGCCAACTAGAACCCAGACCTCAAAGGTTGGGCAGTCAGTCTGTGCGCAGAAAGCCCTGTGAGCTGTTGCCCCCCCCTTCCCCCAGCAGAAGGACCCTCAACTCCAAGCGGCGGGAGCCACTCTCCCCGCCCCCCCCTTCCAGGCCTGCTGCCCGATCCCCCCCCCCAAGGGGCTCTGCTGCCAGGGAGCAGGGCGAGAGGAGGGGCAGGGGCAGCCCCGGCGGCTCTTTCCTAGCTCAGTGGAGGTGGGGGGTGGGCACGGAGGGGGCCATGACAGATAGCACAGAAGCCGAGAAGGGCAAATGGGGACCAGGAAGTCGCGCAAGACCGGTTGCTGGTCTTGAACAAAAGTTAACACATGCGGGGGCCGGGAAGGTAGTGGGGGGCGCAGGCTGGGCTCTAGCATCTAAAAGCCGCCAGCCGAATGACTCCACCTTCTGCAGAAGCCCCTCCCCACTGGCACCCTAAGCCTCACCATTCTTCTTCACGGCTATTCCTCCATCTCCTGGACCGGTCTCCACCCTGGAGCGGCCCGGAGCTCCTGCTTCCCCACTCCCTCTTGTACCCAGGATCCGTACCGGGATGCAATGCGAACCCTTGGCACAAACACGTCGTATACCCATCAGCCCCAACCGGTACGCGAGACAGAGTCAATAGCAGCGGTAGCAAACAGACCCCCGGGTTTGGGGCTGGGCTCATGGAGTGTCCAAAGCAAGCGAGGCCCACACCCCTCCCGCCTCAGGTCCCCCCCTCCCCTCGTGCGCCCGCCGTGCTTCCTCCTGGTGGGATCAGGCTGTTCTTCGCCTCCTGAGAGGCTAACACCAGGGGTCCCGGGAAGCCCGGCCACGACACAGGCTGTCGCTGCGCTGCCACGTGCTGTGGATCAGGCTCAGCGCATCCTCGCATTTCTTCCTGACGGAGCTGTCCTCGAGGGGCTTGTGCAGAAGGTCGACCTGCCGACACAGCGGGGCAAAAGGAGTTGTGAGGGGGGAGATGGGGCCGCCTGTGCCGCCTCCCCCGTCTGCAGAGCAAGGCCGCCCCGCCGCATGACCAGCCAACCTGATAGGTGCTCTTCCACACAGCGTCCAGCGCCAGCAGGAACCGCTCGAGTTCTGCAGGGCAGCTAAAATAGAGGGCCCACGGGGGCACGTACTGCTTCTGCTCCTGGGCAAACTCCTAAAGGGGTAGGAGAGGAATTGCTACGTGAGATCCTGGGCTTCCTGACACAGGAGGGCTGGGAGCAGTGGTGAAATTCAATTTTTTTTTACTAACGGTTCTGTGGGCGTGGCTTGGTGGGCGTGGCAGGGGAAGGATACTGCAAAATCCCCATTCCCTCCCCACTCCAGGGGAAGGATATTGCAAAATCCCCATTCCCACTGCACTCTGGGGTCAGCCAGAGGTGATATTTGCCAGTTCTCCGAACTGCTCAAAATTTCCGCTACGGGTTCGCCAGAACTTATCAGAACCTGCTGGATTTCACTCCTGGCTGAGAGCCTCACTTAACAAGCTGTCCTAAGGGAGCTCCAAGAGCACAAGGAATATGCTGCCTCTTCCTCCTCCTCCTGAAGACTCACCAGGAGACAATATTCCCGACTGGGCTCCGTAGAGACGGAAGCCACCTCCGCCAGCTCAGCAGTGGCCAGTGAGCGGAAGAAGCTGGTCTGGCAGTCCTCGTGGCAGGTGAACAGTTTCTGCTCCGTCACCACCAGGCAGCAGGGGACGCAGGGTGCAGGGGCCACGCCCTGGGGGATGACCTGGGTGGGAAGGAGGGCCAAACAACCTTTGGAGCTCCTGAGGGCGAAAGGGCCCTGCTTCTGCCCTCCCTTCCGATCACCAGGCAGCACAGGAGCCACAGGGACCCCCACCTTCCCCCATGGCCCCAATCCCAAGGAGGACCTTACCCCTTGGGAGACCGCCTGGCATAAGTATTGCATCCAGTCGGCCATCTCCTCTTCGTTTTCTGCGCTCAGCTCCAGGGAAGGACGCTCGGTCAAAATGACCTGGAAGGAATGGGGCCGATCCGTTGCACTTGATCTTCGGCACCCGCCGCACTGCTCCCCCCTGCAAAGGACAGAGTTTGCGGTAAATGAGACAGAGGAGTCAGAGTCGGTGGGTGGGTGGGGGAGAGGCCCTGGGAGCCTGCCCCATTTGGGACTCACCCCATATTCACAGACAGCAGCGGAGTGATGTCTGTCCGGTCTGGGTACTGGTACAAGATGCCGTTGCTGCGGAGGGAAGACAGAAACAGCTGCTGGGAAAGAGCCCCTCAACAGTTCAAAGCAGGGGAAGTTTGAATTAGCATACGAGTATGCAAATTAAATGCTCTCTCTGTCCTCTCAGAGGGCAGGACAGCGCCCCCCCCCCCCCTTTATGCTGTCACCAAGAACCAGAATCCAGCCCAAAGTTAACTCTGGGGTTATACACTGAAAAGATGGTGACCGTCAGAAAAGCT